CCTCCGAAACATGCTGTCAAGTCCTTGGTGACCTACATGGAGGTTGGATGCGACCTGATGATGTAGAGCCTCTGGTATCACAAGGCGGACAGCTCCCTGGTCAAACGTGTATGTCACCAGACCCTGCCAAACAGCTAGCCTGTCCCTCATGTTGTAGAACTGACGCAGACAGGCCATTTCCTGAGCACGATGTTGGTGCCAATCACTTGCAGACACCTTGGTTATTAGCAGCTGACACTCCAGGTCCTTGGAGGCAACGTGCTGCACGGTGGTGTAGTCAAGTGTGATGCAGTCATCCCCAAAAAGTGCAGTAGTGGTTGCAGCAGCCACAGCGACCTCCAGGTCGTCTGCTTGGTCCTTATCTGCGGCCTCAGGCAGCGCACGGAGCGCTGGGTAGCGGGACAGAAAGTCAGCTGCATGGTTTCGCTTGCCTTCTAGAAACTTTACTTGAAACCTGTATTATAACGTCTTTTCTTTGAGGGCAAAAAGCCTGGGGTTTACAATGCTCTGTCTCCCAAAAGCTTAACCAGTGGCCGGTGTTCAGTAATAATGACAAGGTTAGGGCAGACAAGCAGGAACAGCCGTACCTTGCGAAGACACCAAGCCACTGCCAGAGCCTCACCCTCCACTGGAGCATAACTTGTCTCAGCAGGTGTCAGATGGCGGCTGCCACACAGTGCGAGGCGCCACCCGCTCTTGCAGCAGAATGGGGCATCCCTTGCCCCTACGGAGTTTATAAATATCCACTACACCGCCGATTATCATTTAAAGAAGCGCGCGTAATGCTTTCAAGGTCTTCGTGAACCCCTGCAATGCTTTCCAGGTCATCGCAAATATTGAACAAGACCAACACTTTGGCAAAATCCTGAAGCTACAGTTCTGGAATCATATTTCGGTACGTTTGTTGGGTCCGTCTTTCGTATATCTAGCAGCCATTTTCATGCAAACATAGAGTAAATACTAGTTTGTCTGAAAGAAAAAAAAGTTCTGCAGGAGGGAACTTGACTTTGTGGGATTCCATGTAGGCTGGGACTCTTATAAGCCTACTGATGAACGTCTTGCAGCAATTAGGAATTTCAGCATGCCAGAGATGCCTTCGCTGACGGACATTCGCTCGTGGTATGGATTTGTCAACCAACTAGCACCATTTTTAGCTACAGCACAAATTATGTAGCCCTTCAGGGAGCTGCTGCAGAAACCACAAGGCAAGCGGGTATACTGGGACTCAAAGCTTCAGGAGAAATTTCTACGAGCAAAAGACGTGGTATGCCAGCTGGCTAAGGACGGCCTGACCTTTCATGACAAGGAGCGACCTACCATCGCTATTACGGACTGGAGTAAAGTGGGCATAGGGTTCATTATCCTGCAGCAGTACTGTGACTGCTCAGCAAGGGATGCCCCATTCTGCTGCAAGAGCGGGTGGCGCCTCGCACTGTGTGGCAGCCGCCATCTGACACCTGCTGAGACAAGTTATGCTCCAGTGGAGGGTGAGGCTCTGGCAGTGGCTTGGTGTCTTCGCAAGGTACGGCTGTTCCTGCTTGTCTGCCCTAACCTTGTCATTATTACTGAACACCGGCCACTGGTTAAGCTTTTGGGAGACAGCATTGTAAACCCCAGGCTTTTTGCCCTCAAAAAAAGACGTTATAATACAGGTTTCAAGTAAAGTTTCTAGAAGGCAAGCGAAACCATGCAGCTGACTTTCTGTCCCGCTACCCAGCGCTCCGTGCGCTGCCTGAGGCCGCAGATAAGGACCAAGCAGACGACCTGGAGGTCGCTGTGGCTGCTGCAACCACTACTGCACTTTTTGGGGATGACTGCATCACACTTGACTACACCACCGTGCAGCACGTTGCCTCCAAGGACCTGGAGTGTCAGCTGCTAATAACCAAGGTGTCTGCAAGTGATTGGCACCAACATCGTGCTCAGGAAATGGCCTGTCTGCGTCAGTTCTACAACATGAGGGACAGGCTAGCTGTTTGGCAGGGTCTGGTGACATACACGTTTGACCAGGGAGCTGTCCGCCTTGTGATACCAGAGGCTCTACATCATCAGGTCGCATCCAACCTCCATGTAGGTCACCAAGGACTTGACAGCATGTTTCGGAGGGCAAGGCAGGCAGTGTACTGGCCTGGAATGGAAGGTGACCTGCAGTTCTACCGTGATGCCTGTAGCAACTGCAACACATACACTCCATCTTGAGCAGCTGAACCTCTCATCTTGACCCCTTCACCAGAGTATGCATTTCAGTTCACGGTTGCTGACCTGTTCTAGCTAGAGGGACAGACGTACATTGTGTATGCTGACAGGTGCACAGGCTGGCTAGAGATTAGTCACCTGCCACATGGTGCTACATCAAGTAGGATAATGGTCTTGTTCCACCAGTACTTTGCACGATGGGGCGTCCCAGAGGGCATATCAACTGACGGCGGCACCAACCTAACTAGTTATGAAGTGTGCAAGTTCTTGAACAAGTGGGGCGTTGTAATGAGAATATCCTCTG